ACACACACACACACACTCCATCCAACACACACACCATCCAACACACAGTCCGGCATACACACACACTCCATCCAACACTCACTCCGACACACACACACACTCCATCCAACACACACTCCGACACACACACACACTCCAACCACCACACACTCCGACACACACACACACTCCATCCAACACACACACTCCACCCAACACACACTCCGACACACACACACACTCCATCCACTAATGTATTCATTTATATTTTTAGTACTTGCAAACAAACCTCACTTTGCCCTGAATATTTTAGAAAAAAACTCCCTTTTCCCTGAATATTATAGAAAAAAACTCACTTTTCCCTGTATATTCTTTAAAAAACACACACACACACACACACTCCGACACACACACACACTCCATCCAAAACTCACTCTGACACACACACACACTCCATCCAACACACACTCCCCTGCGTCCCCTCCCGTCCGACCAATCAGACGGCTCCCTGCTACTGTACCCACACACACACACTGGGAGCTTGGTTTTGAGGTTCCACATCTGGGGAACCTCCCCAAAAAAGACCTGCTCAGGTCTGGAGTCAACTCAAAGACATGGAAACCACCTGGAAAACCTCTGACCGCTAGCATAACGAAGCTGTGGACACACAAGGAACACAAAGGAACTCACAAATTTTAGTGTGAGAGACACTATTTTTTAATTTTTATATCTGGGCCTTGAGAAATAGAGCTGGATATAGGGTTTGTTTCTCCAAATGTGTTTGGGTTTCCATCCAGACAGCTGTTATTCTGCCCCTCAAAAAACAAAAAAAGCCCCAAATATATGAGCCAAAATGAAAGATAAATTAATAAATACAAATAAAGATAAATAAGATAAATATAAGTAAAATAGATAATAAATAATAAGATAAATATAAATAAATAAATAAATAAATAAATAAATAAATAAATAAATAAATAAATAAATAAATAAATAAATAAAGATAAATGAAAGATAACACTACTGTTACGTCCCCTGGCTGGGTCCAGGAAATGTAAGGGACCAACATAAATGCAGGAGTCAAAAGGCATTCAGTGAGGTTTATTTTGGTTTTCAGCGAGAAATAACGAACAAAACACCCTAAAAGAAAAGCAAAAGCAAAAAA